TTCCAGCATCCATGGTCACTCCTCACCTGCAGTGAGATGCCCCTGACCACCTTGTGTCATTCTCTGTGTCCCTCCAGCCCCATCCTAGCACCCCTTACCCCCTTTTTCCCACCTAGTTCTATTTCTTCCTAGCATAAGTCATTTACTTACTTACGAAGTTTATTATTTATCTGTCCCCTCCGTTGGATGTGAGTTCCCTGGGAGTCTGTTTTATTCATTGACGTGTCCCAAGGACCTACAACAGTGCCTGGATGCACATAGCGGGCACCTGAGAAGTGTTAGCTATTGTTAACATTCAGCGGGTTGACATCAATCCAGGGCTTGGTTATGTGGCCGTGTGTACAGAATCGTGGGTTTGGTAGAGCTTAAAGATATCTGAAGAGGGCCAGCGGGTGGTGTGATGGTTAAAGTGCTGGACTCCCATATGGTCAACCACAGTTCAAGTCCTGGACCTGGTGACTTGCTTTGTCACTTTCCCTCCTTCTCTCCTTCTCTGGTTACATTAAAAAATAATTATAATAAATAAAATGAAATAAATAATAATTTTTTTTAAAAAAAGATATCTGAGGTTGGAAAGTTCTCTAAATGAAATAAATAATAATTTTTTTAAAAAAAAGATATCTGAGATTGGAAAGTTCATCCTCGTGAATGGATGGATGAGCTGAGGCCCTGGACCATAGGTTGTCCATCATCCGTCCCCACTGCCCCCCACCCGTGGCAGCTAATCTTACTGCTTGGCAGTAACTGCACAGGTGGGCTGGAACCTCAGCAATCGCTGGTGCCTGTTTACAGCACTGTAGATTTCCACTCCGTGGGGAGAGACGGGACATTCCCAGAGTGCGTTCCCATCCGCCTAGCAACCCCTGTTCCATGTCCTCGAAGCCCTGCTGTCCACCACCAAGGGGACAGGATGCACTCCATGCCCTCACAGTTCCAGGAACGTGTTGTTTGGTCCTGGGCTGCTCATAGCCAGAGTGGGATCAGACACGAGGCACAGGGATCGCACTGAGACCCCGACTACCGCCTCTCCCATTTGCGTTCCAGGACGGTGAAATGATCCCCTATGGCTTCGACAACCAGACCAAGCACTGCCTGCGGCGGCTGGGGAAACGCTACAACTTCCAGATCCTGGATCTGAGGCCTGAGGACTCTGGCATTTACCAGGTCAAGGTGGAGGACACCGTGGTCTTCTCCACAGAACTGGAGGCCAGCGGTGAGTGGTCTGCACTGAAGTCTGCGTGGAGGACATCTGGTGGGCGTGGGTCTGTGTGTGTGTAAAGGGGTACACGTGACGTGGTCCCCTTGCAAAAACAACCAGGAGAGAGATGCTCACTCAGACAGCCCAACAACAACGGCCTCTGTTCTCCAAGTGCCTCGGTCTAAGTCGTGCTTCCCAGTGCTGAGCTGGGCTCCCCTAACATCCAGCCCTGACACAGATCCATGTGTCGTGCCCCTGCCTCGGACTGTCGGCAGCAACCAACTATCAGTATTTTCCACCAGACCCCGACTATGTGGCAGCCTCAAGCCACAGCCCCATAGCTCCCCTCCCTCCCACTGTGTGTCCTCAGGTCCCTAGCTGGGTCTCCACCCGGCCAGACACACTTGTGCCCGATACTGCCTCCTCTGTGCCTGCTTCCCTTGTCCCCTTCCTATCTGGGAACCACCTCTGGCTATCATCTAACCCTTCCCACAAGCATCTGGGTCCACATCACCCCCAGAGCACCTGACAGCTCCAGGGGATGCGTGTAAGGACAAGCAGAGGCGCGGAAGGAAGCTCTGGGCAGATAGATCACAAAGAACATGGCCAAACTAGGTCAGGGAGAGGGAGGGATGAACTGTCTCAGCAGGCCGGGCTGTCCAGTGTGGGAAAAGGAGCCAGGACTTTGGAGGTAGCCAGACCTGGGTGTGAATCCTGCCTGGGCCACCTCTTAGCAGCAGAAGATTGAGGCAAGCCATTTAATATTTTTAAGCCTCAATTTCCTTACCTATTTTAAAAAATAGTAATACCTACTTTAGAGGTCAGGGGACTAGCAGGTGGCATGGTGGTTAAGGCACTGGACACTCCCACATGGCCAACCACAGTTCGAGTCCCAGACCTGGTGGCTTGCTTTCTCACTTTCTCTTTCTCTCTGTGTGTCTCGCTCTGGTCAAATTAAAATAAAATAAAATAAATGAATGAATAAAATTAAATAAATAATTATTTTTTAAAAAGAGAGAAAGAAGGTCATAAGAATGGATAAGACAATGTAAGAGGGGTTTTCAAAAAGTTAATTGAAATGTATATTACAAAAAAAAAAATGACTTAAGGATGGTTTTCAAAAAATTTTGCACTGAAATAAACCAGGTGCTTTAATTCCATTCTTCCATGAACTTTTGAATTCCCCTCACCGATAAAGCGCTGGCTCTCAGCACGTTGGTTTCCTTCCCGTACTCACCTTACCCCCAGATATAACTTAAGGTTTTGAGTGATGGAATTCCAGAGCCGAAAATAGCCTCACTGATCATGACCTAATTATAATCCCTCAATTTGCGTGGGGGAAACTGACGTCTGGGTGGGAGGTCCGAGGTGACACAGGGCGTTTGTGACTGAATTGGGTTTCTGAACCCCCTGTCCGCGGCAGCAGGTCGCAGTGTCATGCCGCCCAGCCAAAGTCCCCCATCCCTGCTCTCCTTGCAGCCATCCCGCCCCGCGTGGTGGTCCCACTGGCCGAAGCCCGCTGTGAGGAGCAGGGTGATGCGGTCTTCGAGTGCACCCTCTCCAACCCCTGTCCCAGTGCTATCTGGCATTTCCAGCGCCGGCCACTCCGGCCCAGCGACAAATATGAAGTATCTGTGTCCCCTGATGGGCTGACCCATCGGCTGGTGGTGAAGGGGACCCGATTTGCAGACATGGGCCTCTATTCTCTGGGCACTGGCCTCCACACTTCCAGCGCCTGGCTGGTAGTTGAAGGTACGTGGTTCCCAGAGGACTCTTCCTGCCTCCAGGGTGTAAGCCCTCAAGGCCGGGGAGGGCCTGAGGGAGGCCTGGTAGGGAGGCTCCCTTTGGCCAGTTACTTGTTTTTGGATGATCCCCTCAGGCAGGGAAAATGAGGAGGGCTCCTTGGGCCTGTTCTTGGTCCCCTGCAGTGCAGACCCTCCTGGGCCAGCAGGGAATCAGCTGCAGCTGTTCCACAAGGCCTCTTGGTGTTACTCTAAGGCACAAGTTCAAGATGGCCCTAGAGGCCTGTAAAAAGTGTGGGACAGGAGTCAGCTTCAGTGTGGATGAGAAGCCCCTGGATCAGACCTGAGAAGCCCTTAACCTCCCTGGGGATTGGAATTTGCATTCAAGATAATCCCAGGAGAGTGCAAATTAGACCTATGTAAAGTAGGTGGTAGGATAGGTAGATCTTTTTTAAGAACATGAACTGTGGGACCAGATGGCATAATGGTTACATCGTTGGACTCCCACATAGTCGAATGTGGTTCAAGTCACAGACCCTATGACTTAAAACTCGTGCAGGTGCATGTGTGTGCATGCCCAAGATCCTGAGAGGAGAATGGAGGATAAGGGATTGTGGTGTGACCATCCCTCCGGGGTGGGGGTGATTTCTAACTCTCTGCCTCTGTCTCTGTCTCTCCAATGAGTGCATGTGCCCTATAGTAAAAATCACCCCCAAGAACTGTTTGTGGCAGTTCGGTATGCAAATGACGTTCCATGTATGCATGTGCTCTACATCCTGGTGACCTGGGTAGCAGGCAGCCTGTGGGTGCAGGATGAGGGCTGGTGATGGAGCTCAGCCATCGAGCCCCTAGAACATCCTGGCTCCCCACTAGTGGTCAGTGTGCTTCTCTATGGGGGAAACCAAGGGTCAGGCAAGTCAGCTGGGGTCAGACAGGCGTGGCCTGGTTTATTAATGATAGGGGTTTTGATCTCTTCTTTTGTCTCTCCCTGCGGACATTGACCACCCATGTGAACAACGCCTCATGGAAGCAGGAAGAGACAAAGACCTTCAGACCACAGGTGCTGACGGGCTGTCGCAGGGGCAAGGAGTCCAGGCCTCAGAAGCAGATTCCAGGCGCATCGGTTGTGGGGGAGAGACTTCCAGAGAACAGGGCCCCGTGGGGGGCTCCTTGGAGGGAGCTGACTGGACTTGTGGGCTCCAGGTCCCAGCCAGCCTGGGCAGGGGTATTCCTGGCAGTCATGGCAACTCCTTGATGGGGGACGAAGGGGCAGCTGACTGTGCCAGGGTACCTGGGCAGGAGAGAAAGGGCTTTCTAGACCCGGAGGGAGGCAGAGTTGTTCCCGCTGGAGAAAGTCAGTCCCCCAGAGATGGAGCCTGGGGTGCAAACCTTTCAGAGTGGCCCCCTCTACAGCGAGAGGGCCCAGAGCCAGGGTTGAGTGTCACAGAGAGGCCACAGCAAGATCCTGGCAGAGAGCGCGAAGGGGACAGGTGCTGGGGGCCACCAGGAAGCCGGAAGGCTCAGGGCGGAGGCCTGGGAGACAGCAGGGAAGGAAAGGAGCACCAGGGAGACGGAGGCTGGCTGGACAGGCATGGCCAGGAACAGCTCTGGGCCTCAGGCAGGGAAAATGAGGAGGGCTCCTTGGGCCTGTTCTTGGTCCCCTGCAGTGCAGACCCTCCTGGGCCAGCAGGGAATCAGCTGCAGCTGTTCCACAAGGCCTCTTGGTGTTACTCTAAGGCACAAGTTCAAGATGGCCCTAGAGGCCTGTAAAAAGTGTGGGACAGGAGTCAGCTTCAGTGTGGATGAGAAGCCCCTGGATCAGACCTGAGAAGCCCTTAACCTCCCTGGGGATTGGAATTTGCATTCAAGATAATCCCAGGAGAGTGCAAATTAGACCTATGTAAAGTAGGTGGTAGGATAGGTAGATCTTTTTTAAGAACATGAACTGTGGGACCAGATGGCATAATGGTTACATCGTTGGACTCCCACATAGTCGAATGTGGTTCAAGTCACAGACCCTATGACTTAAAACTCGTGCAGGTGCATGTGTGTGCATGCCCAAGATCCTGAGAGGAGAATGGAGGATAAGGGATTGTAGTGTGACCATCCCTCCGGGGTGGGGGTGATTTCTAACTCTCTGCCTCTGTCTCTGTCTCTCCAATGAGTGCATGTGCCCTATAGTAAAAATCACCCCCAAGAACTGTTTGTGGCAGTTCGGTATGCAAATGACGTTCCATGTATGCATGTGCTCTACATCCTGGTGACCTGGGTAGCAGGCAGCCTGTGGGTGCAGGATGAGGGCTGGTGATGGAGCTCAGCCATCGAGCCCCTAGAACATCCTGGCTCCCCACTAGTGGTCAGTGTGCTTCTCTATGGGGGAAACCAAGGGTCAGGCAAGTCAGCTGGGGTCAGACAGGCGTGGCCTGGTTTATTAATGATAGGGGTTTTGATCTCTTCTTTTGTCTCTCCCTGCGGACATTGACCACCCATGTGAACAACGCCTCGTGGAAGCAGGAAGGGACAAAGACCTTCAGACCACAGGTGCTGACGGGCTGTCGCAGGGGCAAGGAGTCCAGGCCTCAGAAGCAGATTCCAGGCGCATCGGTTGTGGGGGAGAGACTTCCAGAGAACAGGGCCCCGTGGGGGGCTCCTTGGAGGGAGCTGACTGGACTTGTGGGCTCCAGGTCCCAGCCAGCCTGGGCAGGGGTATTCCTGGCAGTCATGGCAACTCCTTGATGGGGGACGAAGGGGCAGCTGACTGTGCCAGGGTACCTGGGCAGGAGAGAAAGGGCTTTCTAGACCCGGAGGGAGGCAGAGTTGTTCCCGCTGGAGAAAGTCAGTCCCCCAGAGATGGAGCCTGGGGTGCAAACCTTTCAGAGTGGCCCCCTCTACAGCGAGAGGGCCCAGAGCCAGGGTTGAGTGTCACAGAGAGGCCACAGCAAGATCCTGGCAGAGAGCGCGAAGGGGACAGGTGCTGGGGGCCACCAGGAAGCCGGAAGGCTCAGGGCGGAGGCCTGGGAGACAGCAGGGAAGGAAAGGAGCACCAGGGAGACGGAGGCTGGCTGGACAGGCATGGCCAGGAACAGCTCTGGGAGGCTCAGCAGGGAACTGGGAGAGGAAGGAGGGCCCTGTGGGGGTCCCCATCTGATCCTGGGGGGTCTTGGCCAGAAGGAGAAGAGATGGAGGAGTTTCTGCAGGGTGATAGCCAGGCCGAGATAGAGGGAGGGGATGGTCTGAGTAGGGGAAGGGAGAGAGGCATGGCTGAGACAGTATGGGGTAGAGGGATTGGCCCAGGGCCGGCAGGAGCCAGCCAGGGAGCAGGAGGTCCTAGCACCTGGGAGGTTCCTGGAGAAGGAGGTTCTAGCTCCAAGGCAGACACTGACTATGAGTTCTGGGGCTCTCAGGGTGGTAGAGATGCGGACCATGAGGGAGCCAGGGGCTCCTGGGGGCCAGGGCAGCATCCAGGACAGACCTCCGGAGGCAAGGGCTTCCAGCCATCGTCAGTATCCGGTGTTGGAGCTTTCCTCCAGGGGGGCAGGGGCTCTGAGGCCAAAGCTGGGGGCTCACTGCGGGAGGCAGACGACCGAGCTGGGGGGGAGTCTACAGCTAGGGGAAGGGGCTACACAGCTGGTCCTGGGGGACTAGGAGGTCCTGGGGACTGGGGAGATGGCCTACAGGAGCTCAGGGGACGGGGCAACCAGGGGATGCCCGGGGCCTTGGGCAGAGCAGGGGACGGCTCCAGAAACCTCCAATCTTCCCAGGGCTGGACTGCAGGTCAGAGGGGAGCAGAGGGCACTGGTGGAATAGAGTCTGACAGTGCGAGTCCTTGGGATGGCATGGGGTCTAGCCTGAGTAAAACCGGGGCCCACCATGGGCCTGGAGTGCTGGGGTCCAGTGGAGGAAAGGGTGGTGCCCAGGGAACTGGGCTGATGGAGCCTGGGCAGGGGGTGGGTGCCAGAAACCACAGGATGACTGGGTCTCCAGGCCCGCGTACTCAGAGGTCCAGGGGGACACTGGGAGATACGGAAGGAATAAGAGGTCCAGTAGCAATGGGGTCTGAACTAGATTTCTGCGATGGGTCAGGGGGCTCCAGAGGAAAAGGACCCCAAAGTATGACAGGCTATGATGGTGGCTTAGGGGATCTGGGGACAATGGAGTCTAGGTATGGGGATGGCATAGGGTACTCTAGGGGAACAGACCCTGGAAATGGTGCTAGTTACAGTGATGGCTCGGGGGTTCCAGGAGGAATGGGGTCTGGCCATGATCCAAGGTACAGAGTTGCCTCCGGGGTGCTTGGGAGAACAGAGTCTTTGGAAGGAGATGCTCACAGGCATGGCTCAGGGATGGCAGGAGGAACAGGGTCTGGCCATGGTATTGGATACAGAGTTGATTCGGGGGTGCCTGGAGCAGAATCTGAGGAAGGGGGTGCTCACAGGCATGGTTCGGGAATGTCGGGAAAAATGGGGTCTGGCCATGGTGCTGGGTATAGAGTTGACTCTGGGGTACCTGGAGCAGAGTCTGAGGAAGGGGGTGATCACAAGCGTGGCTCGGGGGTATCAGGAAGAATGGGGTCTGGCCATGGTGCTGGGCATAGAGTTAAATCTGGTGTACCTGGAACAAAGTCTGAGGAAGGGGGTGCTCACAGGCATGGCTTGGGGGTGTCAGGAAGAATGGGGTCTGGCCATGGTGCTGGGCATAGAGTTAAATCTGGTGTACCTGGAACAAAGTCTGAGGAAGGGGGTGCTCACAGGCATGGCTCAGGGGCATCAGGAAAAATGGGGTCTGGCCATGGTGCTGGGTATAGAGTCGCCTCTGGGGCACCTGGAATAGACTCTAAAGAAGAGGGTGCTCACAGGCATGGCTCGGAGGTGTCAGGAAGAATGGGGTCTGGCCATGGAGCCGGGTATAGAGTTGACTCTGGGGTATCCGGAGCAGAGTCTGAGGAAGGAGGTGCTCACAGGCATGGCCCGGGGGTGCCAGCAGGAGTGGGGTCTGGCCATCGTGCCGGGTATGGAGTTGACTCTGGGGTACCTGGAGCAGAGTCTGAGGAAGGAGGTGCTCACAGGCATGGCCCGGGGGTGCCAGCAGGAGTGGGGTCTGGCCATCGTGCCGGGTATGGAGTTGACTCTGGGGTACCTGGAGCAGAGTCTGAGGAAGGGGGTGCTCACAGGCATGGCTCAGGGGTGCATGGGGGAGGGTGGCCTGGAGACAAAGATCACCATAGTCCTGCAGGAGGGACATCCGGGAGGGTTGCAGTTCTCAAAAATGGCACAGACAGCCCTGATGGAGTGCCTGGGGGTGAAGCCTGGAGCTGGGATGCACCCCAAGCACAAGGAGAAATGGGCTCTGTGGGAGGGCATCGTTCTGGTGGTGGTGTGGGGGGTCCTGGTGGTCTCGAGGCCTTGGGACCAGTGGGCACTGTGGGGGAGGGACTCTTGGAAGCAGATCCAGAGGGCTCTGGAAGAGCAAGGCCTTGGAGTCAGAGTGGGGATTATGGGGGCCCCAGAGCCTCGGGGGCCATGGAGGCCTTTGGAGAAGGAGGCTGTGGAGATAGCACTAGGGGTCCAGGGCCTATGGGGCCAGGGTCTCCAAGGACAGGGGATATAGGGAGGTTTGGCACCTCTGGAGCTGGAACTGACCTTCTGGACAGTCTCACGGCAGGTTCTGGGAGCCCGTGGGCTTCTGGGTCTGGCACTGGGCTGGGGTATGGGGATGGTTCAGGAATTCCAGGGTCTCAGGGATCTGGGGGCAGGATGGCTTCTGGAGGAGGATCAAGGAGCCTCGGGCCTGGGAGAATGAGGCCAGGCAATGAGGCAGGCTCTAGGGACGGTTCGGGGGGCCTGGGAGGAATGGGATCAGCAGACGGGGCAGCTGGCAGGGATAGGCTTAGGGGATCTGGGGAAGTGTGGTCCATGGATGAAGCAGGACAGAGAAGAGACACAGGCGCTCCTGAGGGGATGGGGTCAGGGTGCCACGCAGGTTATAGGAATGTTTCAGGGGACAGGGGATGGGGTCAGGGTGCCACGCAGGTTATGGGAATGTTTCTGTGGATTCTGGAAGGAGTCCATTTGGAAGTGACATAGGGTATAAGAGTGGTTTGGAGGATTCTGGATGCATTTTGTCATGGAGTGAGGCAGGTGGTAGGGATGGCTTGGGCGGTACTGGGGGAATGGGGATAGCGGGTGAAGGTGGTGATAGGGGAGGCCCGGGTGGACCCAGGAAAGCAGGGTCAGAGCACGAGGCGGGCCATGGAGATGGACCGGGGGGGCTTGGAGTCCCAGGTTCATTGGCAAGAATGAAGCCTGAGGTTGGACCTGGAGGCCACAGAGCCAGGGGGCTCGGGGCAGGCCATTGGGCGGGATCAGAGCATGGCACAAACTCTAAGGGTGGTCCTGAGCAGAGCAGAGGAGTGGGGCTTGTGGATGGGGCAAGTCCAGGGGTGGCTGGAGTGGTGGGCATTGCAGATAGCATGGCACTTGGGGACAGCCTCAGGAATCTGGGGGCACTAGGGACCCAGGGAGGGTCACAGACTCCTTCAGATGGGCCAGCCTCAGAGAACCCTCCTGGGGGCTACGGAACCTCCAGGCTCCCTGAGTCCACGAGGGCTGCTGTGTCTAGGGGGAAGTCGGGCCTCAGAGAGGGCCAAGAGGGTTCTGGCGTGCCAGGGTCTCCTAGGGGCAGGGGGACTCTCAGGGGGGAGGGTGGGTCTGCAGACCCAGCAGGGAGCATGAGAACTTCTGGGTGTCTTGATAGTAGGGGGACAGTGGAGGGTGAGACCTGGGTGGGGACAGATGCTCCAGACTCTGGACAAGAATGGGATTTTGGGACAGCAGGCTCTGGGACAGCAGACAGGGCTAGGGTGGCTGGTCAGGGGCAGTGGGCACCTCAGGGAAGTGAGGGCTTCCCGCAGGGAGCTGGGAGGACAGGGGCAGGTTCAGGGAGAACAGCGGGGGCAGGCCAGGTGGTGGAAGGCAGCTCCACACCCGGGGGAAACGGCAAATCAACATCAGGGCCTGCCGAGCGGCAAGGGCTGAGCAACGCCTGGGCATCCGGCGGGCAAGACCAGGGGTCGGGCCAAGGCAGCACAGGTGCTGGGAGCCAACCCCCCAGCTCCAGGGCCTCCCAGTCTCTGCAGGGGAAAGAGGCCACTTTCAGTGGGACCTACAGAAGGCCAGGGGGCTCAAGGGGCAGGAAGGCCGCACCAGGCCAGGAAGCAGTTGGTGAATGGCAAAGTCCAAGTTCCCTGGACAGCGAAGGCTCGAGTTCTAGAAGGGACAGACCTGAGGACACAGAACTCGCAAGTGTTCTGGGCAAGGAGGATTCTGCTGAGTTGGGGAATGGCCTCACGCCAGCACCTGGGAAATCAGGAGTTCGGAGACCCTGGAGTGGCCAAGATGGTCCGCTGGGCAGAAAAAGCTCTGGAGACAGATCAGGGGAGAGCTCGGGCCTGGCTTCTCAGCTTGGCACAGGACAGAAAGGAGCAAGGGGGTTCCCTGGGAAGCAGGGGTCTCTGGGAGCTGAGCGTAGCAAGGCCCAAGGTCCTGGGGCCCTGCAGGAATGTGGCAGGTGGGGAACAGAAGAGTCTGGAGGGCCAGGTGGGAGCCCTGGCCCACGTAGCTGCAGCTCTCAGGCACGGGCAGGGGCGAGTGCTGAGGCAGTGAGAAGAGAAAGAGCAGGGGAGGCCAGCAGGGAGAACAGAGGGTCCCCGGGGGAAACTCCAGGCGAAGACTGGAACCCGGAGCCCCTGTGTCGCCCTGGCAGCAGAAGTAGCAAAGGGCACAGGCCAGACATCTCTGGCCAGGGGAGGGATCTCACCCGGCATCCTGGATCCAGATACAAGCCCGGCGCTGGCAGTTTCTCCAAGGAGGCTCGAGGTAGGTCCTTCTCAGCTGGGCGAGGGGAGCTCTCTGGACAGTGGGATGCTCGGGTTGACCCCAATTCCATATTATTAGGAACCTTTGTCAGATGGGGGAGCAACCTCCTCCTCTCTGTGCAGGGGGAACCGGGTGCATGAAGCCCAGAGGCCTCCAGGACACCCGGTCTTCTAACCTATGTCCAATGTGCCAGAGAGGCCTACCTCACTCTCTGGGTCACCCACACTTCCTGCTGTGGGACTTGGGGCCCCTTCACCCACCTTGTACCCCACATTTCCTGTTTCGTCCTCCCTCCTACTGAGAAAAATGAGAGGCTTGGCTTTGCTGACACCAGCCGAGCCAGCTGGCAGGACCACAGTGGCCTCCCAGGGCACAGTGCAGGCCATTGCCCCAGAGGCTGGCCCTTGGGGACTCCCTCTGTGTCTCTCCAGGCCCTGTGGGCCACTTCTCCCAGGGCCTGGCTGACACGGAGGTCCAGCACGGGGAGGCTGCGATGCTCTCCTGTACCCTCACCTGTGACCTGGGGCCTGGCACCTGGTTTAAGGATGGAGTCAAGGTATGCACCGCCCCCACCTTCTCTTTACTGGGGAAAGGGGTAGAGTGAAGCAGAGGACAGGTAGAGGGTAGAGAATTTGCAGTAAGATGCACCCACCCTGGTAGGAGTTGAAATATCCAACAGCTTGGTTGTTTAACATTAAATTGGATTTTTAAAATGCTGTCTCCCTGACTCACTCTTCCCTCCACGCACCCCGTGCTCCTTGCACCTGCTCACACAGCTCTGCCCATCCTCCGAGGCCTCCTATAAGTGGCATCTCCCCATCCTGACCAGATGGGCTCTCCCCAGCCTCCATTGTAGCTGTCATCTCAGGAAGTGACCTGTCATGGGGGTTCAAACAGGTGCCTTGGCACCAGCCAGATCTGGCTTCAAATCTCAGCCCTGCCATAACCAGTTATGTGACCTCAGGCCAGCTGCCGCAGATGCTGGTCTCGTCATCTATTAAATGGGACTAATAATAGTACCTGCTTCAGAAGGTTGCGGCAGATCAGTGCCAGGCCCGGAGTGCCTTAGCACGGCCCGGCACATGATAAGCGCTCAGTTCACACAGCTGTGACTTGATTCCAGAGACTGCGTCAGTGACAGGCCCTGCTTAGCTGCTGGAGGAGTGGGGTGGGTGGGGTGACCGTCTCCTGCTGTGGCCCTCATCTCCAGCTCACCGCCGAGGATGGCGTCATCTTTGAGCAAGACGGTCTCGTGCACAGACTCATCATCGCCCATGTGCAGGGGACCCAGGCTGGGAGGTACAGCTTCGTGGCCGGCAGCGAACAGAGCGAGGCCACCCTGACTGTCCAGGGTGAGGCCCAGCCCTACCCTTTCCTGTCCCACAGTCTTTACCAGGGGACAGGCTCCCCCGTGTACACACCACAGTTGTGACTGGTCTGCAGCCAGTGTCTAATCTCATCTCAGTCTGAGCAGAGGAATTAAAAAGCCCCCCGCCCCGCCCCAGCATCCTCTCTCCTGGGTGAGAAGGCCTGGGTGAGGTCTAACGCGGGTCCTCCTGATGCAGATGAAGCCCGTTCTTGTTCATTCTCACCAAGGGCAGGGACTTCCACACTCCGAGCCCGAACTTCCTGCCCTGGGTACTTCTGTCGCCCTCCCCTGGCTCCCAGGGCCTGTCTTCTTTGACCCCCTTGCTCCTTTGATTTCTAGATCCTCCCACCATTGCTCCAGAGGTGACAGAGAAACTGAGTGAGCCACTGGTGGTGAAGGCCGGGAAGCCAGTGACCATGAAGATCCCCTTCCAGAGCCGTCTCCCTGTCCAGGCTGCCTGGAGAAAGGATGGGGCCGAGGTGGTGGGCAGCAGCGGCAGGGGTGCCCAGGTGGCCCTGGGGGACAGCTACACACGGCTGTGCCTTCCCAGCGTGAGCAGGAAGGACCGTGGCCAGTACAGCGTGACACTGAGGAGCGAGGGCGGCTCCGTGCAGGCCCAGCTCACCCTGCAAGTCCTAGGTGCCAGCCCCACCCTGAGGGTCCCTGGGTGCCAAGGGCAGGTCCAGGGGATGGCTCTGCCAGGGCTGATCCTCATTTTCATACTGTTTAAAGATTAAACCCCTCCTTACTCATCTGCACGCCCTCCCCAAACTCATCTGAGCCCCAGTACCCTGGGCCATAGGGAACTGGTTGGGCGGGATGGTGTCCCCCAGCCATGGTCGGTACCAGTAAGGTAGGGCTGTGGGTATCCAGAGGGCCACATGAATGGTGGGGTGGGCGCAGGGCTGGCACAACCCTGGGTGTGTGTGTACGCGTTGTGGGCAGAGATCAGGGGCCCTGTCTGTCTCAAGAAATGTATGGGCCCCTGGCTAATGGCCAAGGCTCTCTGGGCAGCCCACCCCACTGCAGGCTTCTCCACTGATGAGGGGAAAACCAGCCCACTCCTCTCCAGCTTCTCTGACCCTCTTCTCTCCCTGCTCCTCTTGGTGGGTCCCAGATAAGCCTCGGCCCCCGCAGGGCCCTCTGGAGGTGCAAGATTGCGGTCGGGCCGGCGTCTGCCTCCGCTGGCAGCCCCCGAGGGACGATGGGGGCCAGCCCGTGGTGCACTACGTGGTGGAGAGGCGGCAGGCTGGCAGGAGCACTTGGCTGAAGGTGGCCGAGCCCCCCGCAGACAGCACCACCTTCACCGATGCCCACGTCGAGCAGGGCAGGAAGTACACCTTCCGCGTGCGGGCTGTGACCTCTGAAGGGGTTGGGGAGCCCCTGGAGTCTCAGGAGGTGCTGGTAGCACCTGAGGGTGAGAAAAAGGGTCAGGTTGGGGCTGGGTTACTCCTGGGCTCCCCACTGGGCCCGGAGGATAGGCAGAGGCTGAGGGATGCCAGCCTCTCCCTGAGGGTCTTGGGGCCCTTCTAGAACATTATGGAGACTCCCTACCGCAGCTTCATTCGGGATCTGACAGCCAGAGCAGGAACAGATTTATGGGGTTTCCAGAAGTGAGGGTGGCCAAGCAAAGCTCGTGCTCAGGACCTGGATAGAAACCAGCATCTTCCATCAGATACCCCGAGCCAGGATGGCATCCCCGAGCAGGCTGGCCTGGCCTCGATACTCCCAGAAAAGGACAGTGTGGGGCCCTGCCCTAAACTCCCCATTCCTTCTCCCCCGGGGCCTCCCCGTGGGGCACCTTTCCCTGGGCTCTGGCTGACTGGTGCCTTCTCTGCCCCCAGCTCTCCCCAGGCCCCCTTCCGCCCCTGTCATCGTGAAGGCCTCCAGCCAGGGCATCACACTGACGTGGACGGCGCCTCGGGGCCCTGGCAGTGCCCACATCCTGGGCTACCTGGTTGAGAAGCGCAAGAAGGGTAGCAACACCTGGACGGCCGTGAGCGACCAGCCCATACCGGGTGAGCAGCCCGAGCAGCAGCCCTGTCATCCTGCTTCCAGAGTGTCCGCAGGCTCCCTCCCGGCTCAGGCTCCGGGATCCTTTGGCACTGTCAGTTCAGACTTGTTTTTAACTTGCTAGAGGGCACGTGAGCACACCAGAAAGTGACAGAGAGAGAGCACCCCCCACGGTGCATGGTGATACAGTGACCCCCTCTCCACTTCTCCACCCCATAAGGATCTGGGCACGCACACACATGTGCCGGCCGGTGTGTTTTTCAAACTGCCGGAGCCAGGATTCAAACAGTGATCAGCGATGTGAGATCTGGCTCCCTTGCCCACTAGGCTATGGGCCAGCCCTGACTAGTTTGGTTTAATACAGTGGCTCTCATCCAGGGTAGCCTTGTCCCCTAGGGGACACCTGGCAATGTCTGGAGATGATTTTGATTGTCACAGCTGGGGAGGAGGGGAAGATGTTATTGGCATCCTTGTGAAGAAGCCAGGGATGTCACTAAACACCCTGTAATGCACAGGACCGAGAGCAGGACCCCCACCCCCCACACACACACAAATTCCAAAGGATGCTCTGGCGAAGCTTCCACCGTGCTGAGGCTGAGAAGCCCCAGGTTAGTGGGTGTCCTGGGCGGGACTAGTTGGTGGAGAGGCGGCAGGCTGGCAGGAGCACTTGGCTGAAGGTGGCCGAGCCCCCCGCAGACAGCACCACCTTCACCGATGCCCACGTGGAGCAGGGCAGGAAGTACACCTTCCGCGTGCGGGCTGTGACCTCTGAAGGGGTTGGGGAGCCCCTGGAGTCTCAGGAGGTGCTGGTAGCATCTGAGGGTGAGAAAAAGGGTCAGGTTGGGGCTGGGTTACTCCTGGGCTCCCCACTGGGCCCGGAGGATAGGCAGAGGCTGAGGGATGCCAGCCTCTCCCTGAGGGTCTTGGGGCCCTTCTAGAACATTATGGAGACTCCCTACCGCAGCTTCATTCGGGATCTGACAGCCAGAGCAGGAACAGATTTATGGGGTTTCCAGAAGTGAGGGTGGCCAAGCAAAGCTCGGGCTCAGGACCTGGATAGAAACCAGCATCTTCCATCAGATACCCCGAGCCAGGATGGCATCCCCGAGCAGGCTGGCCTGGCCTCGATACTCCCAGAAAAGGACAGTGTGGGGCCCTGCCCTAAACTCCCCATTCCTTCTCCCCCGGGGCCTCCCCGTGGGGCACCTTTCCCTGGGCTCTGGCTGACTGGTGCCTTCTCTGCCCCCAGCTCTCCCCAGGCCCCCTTCCGCCCCTGTCATCGTGAAGGCCTCCAGCCAGGGCATCACACTGACGTGGACGGCGCCTCGGGGCCCTGGCAGTGCCCACATCCTGGGCTACCTGGTTGAGAAGCGCAAGAAGGGTAGCAACACCTGGACGGCCGTGAGCGACCAGCCCATACCGGGTGAGCAGCCCGAGCAGCAGCCCTGTCATCCTGCTTCCAGAGTGTCCGCAGGCTCCCTCCCGGCTCAGGCTCCGGGATCCTTTGGCACTGTCAGTTCAGACTTGTTTTTAACTTGCTAGAGGGCACGTGAGCACACCAGAAAGTGACAGAGAGAGAGCACCCCCCACGGTGCATGGTGATACAGTGACCCCCTCTCCACTTCTCCACCCCATAAGGATCTGGGCACGCACACACATGTGCCGGCCGGTGTGTTTTTCAAACTGCCGGAGCCAGGATTCAAACAGTGATCAGCGATGTGAGATCTGGCTCCCTTGCCCACTAGGCTATGGGCCAGCCCTGACTAGTTTGGTTTAATACAGTGGCTCTCATCCAGGGTAGCCTTGTCCCCTAGGGGACACCTGGCAATGTCTGGAGATGATTTTGATTGTCACAGCTGGGGAGGAGGGGAAGATGTTATTGGCATCCTTGTGAAGAAGCCAGGGATGTCACTAAACACCCTGTAATGCACAGGACCGAGAGCAGGACCCCCACCCCCCCACACACACACAAATTCCAAAGGATGCTCTGGCGAAGCTTCCACCGTGCTGAGGCTGAGAAGCCCCAGGTTAGTGGGTGTCCTGGGCGGGAGGCAGAGACGCAGCCATTAGCCCTGGCCTCTCCACTTCGGCCTTGACCTTGGGCAGCTCCCTTTCTCTCTAGGTCTCAAGTTTCCTCACCCCTAAAGCAGAGAAAAGTGTCCTCTGCCCCTAACTGCTTTCCGAGATCAGGACGAACTAGGAAAAGCCCAAGGGTGGTAGATGCCATGAACACTTGGCACTTCTGTGCTCTGATGGGGAGCCGAGGCCCATGGAGGGAGGCGCAGGCTCAGAACGGCGCAGGAGAGCTGGTGCCCAGTCAGGCCTGCTCCAGTGCTGCTCAGGGCTGAGGCCCCGCAGGGCCTCGACCTGCTCATCTCTGCTTCATTTAAACATGATGACAACTCCATAAGGCGGAGGAGACCCTCAGGGTCCAGGCGCTTGCCCAAGACCATCCAGCAAGTCAGTGGCAGAAGCACACGGGGCTGTGGGCCCCTCGCTTAGCACCCTCGTCACCTAGAAGAGAACCAAGCACACCTGGATGGATGAATGGGGAGGGATGACTCAGGCCCTGGGCTTGGTCTTCTCCAGAATTTGGGGGCCCCAAGCTATCTCTCTATACATGGTCCCACCCTTATGAGACTAACGTGGGGTGGGCCGTTCACAGAGAGGAAGTGGACCGTGGTGGATGTGCGGCAGGGCTGTCCGTATGAGTTCCGGGTCACGGCCATGGCTCCCTCAGGTCCCGGAGAGCCTGGGCCCCCATCAGATGCTGTCTTTGCTCGGGACCCCATGAGTAAGTAGGGCCCTGCCTGGGATGGGGGTGGGGTGGTGATTGCCCGATAGTGCGAAAGCCAGGGGGCCGGGACAGGAAATCACAGGTTGGGGCAGTCTGGGGGAATGGTCAGGAATGCTGAAAGATAAAGGTCAAAAGGTGAGGTGTATTTTTTTTAACTTTATTTATTATTATATCATTATTACTTTCCAGTTTAATCGGAGAGACACAGAGAGAGAGAGGAAGTGAGAAAGCAAGCCACCACGTCTGAGACTTGAACCGTGGTCGGCCATGTGGGAGTCCAGCGCCTTTAACCACCATGCCATGTATTTCAAGGAGTCTAAGCTGAGATCAAGCAGGTGCAGAGGCTAGGAAGGGGGGGTGCAAAGATTCCTCCCCAGGGTCACGTCACTCACTCTGTGGCCTCTGGGCAGGTCTGTCTCCAAGCTAGCCCACTTGTTCCAAACGTTTTAAATTTAAAAAAGAAAAAGAAAAGGAAAATTCTACCGGAGGGCATGTGCACTGGCCAGGGTTTGGGAGGAAGAAAGGAAAGAGCAAGCAAGAAAGCACCCCCCATGGGGCATGGTCCTTTTCCTCCGTCTCACCCTCCTTTTGGGATTTAGAACACACACACACACACACACACACACACACACATACACAGGTGCCTTGCGTGTTTTTCAAGCTGTCAGGTCTGGACTTGCACTGCACGGTCAGCCATGGGGACCCCACCAGGGCTGACCCTGTGCCAGCCGATTGGCTCAACCCAGTGAGGAGCTACCGTGAGTAGTAGGAGCGGTACCAGAGGAGCCTCCACCCAGGGAGTATTCGTCATCACCTACGAGGTGGCCAGCACTGGGCCGGAAGCTAGGCGAGGCCATCCCGTCTCTGCCCGTAAGAAAGTACAGGGGACCAGAAGATGGCGTGATGGGTTACGTCGCTGGACTCCCACATAGTCGACTATGGTTTGAGTCCTGGACCCAGTGGCTTAAAACACACCAGGCATGTGGGAGTGCATGCCCCATCCCTAGAGAAGAATGGAGAAGGGATTGCAGTGTGGCCATGCCCCCTGGAGAGTGATTTCTCACTTTCTGTAACTCTGTCTCTCCAGTGAATGCACACACCCCTATAGCAGGAATCACAAAAAAAAAAAAAAAAGGAAAGAAAAGAAAGAAAAAAGAGAGTCGAAAGAGTCTAGAGTAACATTTCCCTTCTGCATTCTCGGGAACGCTGCGACACTGGTGCACCGAGACAGGCCAGCAGACACAGGGGACAGCGGGAACATCTCAGCAGATCTGTGACCCAAGATGTGTGTGACGTGAATCTGTGGTGTTTCCAAGTCCTGTGGGAGAGACACCTGTCTGACTGTGTTTGCTCTGAATCACCCCGATTTGAATAGAGACTACCTTCCCCACAAAAAACCTTTTTTTAAGAGAGATTTTTGTTATAGGGTGTGTGCACTCCACAAGAGACAGAGAGAGTCAGAGAGACTGAAAGCAAGAAATCACTCCCACAGGGGGGATGGCTACACCACAATCCCTTCTCCATCCTCCTCCTGGGATCTTGGGCACACGGGCACACATGCACATGTGCCTGGCAGGGGTTTGAAGCCACCAGGTCTGGGACTCAAACCACAGTTGAGTACATGGGAGTCCAGTGATGTAATCATTATGCCATTTGCTGGTTCCAAATACCTATTAAAAACTACACAAGGTGGGACCGGCAGGTGGCATGATGGTCAAGGGCGCTGGACTCCCACATGGCTGATTGTGGTTCAAGTCCCGGACCTGGCAGCTTGCTTTCTCACTGCCCCCCACTTCTCTCTCTCTTTCTCTCTTATCAAATTTAAATAAATAAATAAATAAATAAATAAATAATAAAGTTCGATAAAATAATCCAAAAAAAAAAAGAAAAGACTACACGAGGCATGACCGTGGGAAACCTGCTCTGGCATTCTCATCCCCATCTGAGCCTGTCGTCGAGGGACAGCACAGCCCTCGCACTTGCTGGATCCGCCAGGTGGCAAACACCTCGAGAGCATCCTTTTTTTGAAATTTTTGCCATAGGGCACGTGCGTTTGCTGAAGAGAGAGAGAGAAACAATGAGAGGGAAAGTGAAAAACCACTCCCCAGGAGGAGGGCCATGCTGCAATTCCCTCTCCACTCTCCTGGGATCTTGGGCATGCACGCACACACACCTGTCATGTTTTTCAAACCACCAGGTCCAGGACTTGAACCACAGTCAGCCATGTGGAAGTCCAGTGCTATGTCCAGTATCTACTATGCCACGTACTGGCCCCTCGAGAGCATCTTTGTACCCAGCAGGTCTAGGCTGTTTGACCGAAGCCAACAAGAATAGGACATTCTACTTGTTTAACCATTCAAATGGCAGCTAAGTGTCAGCCCTAGAAAGGCAGCGTGTAGATGAGGCATCTTGCCCTCTGTTAGGGGACCAGACTACTCCCACTTCCCCTCTGTCCTCGCGCTGTCATCGTGATGGCCAGTGGAGACGATGGATGGGAGAGGCCGTGTCCAGGAGAGGCCACAGCAATGGCGGTATTTCCTAGTTTTACTATTAAGCAAGGCCCAACGACCAGCAGAGCACCTGGGAACTTATTCAAAATGCAAAGTCTCAGGGCCAGCAGGTGGCATGCTGGTTAAGGTGCTAGAATCCCACATGGCCAACCACAGTTCGAGTCCTGAACCCAGCGGCTTGAAACTCATACCAGGCATGTGTACATGCATGCCCAAAATCCTGAGAGGAGAATAGAGGAGAAGGGATTGCAGCATGGCCATCCCCCCAAGGGGTGATTTCTCATTCTCCCTCTCTGGCAATCCAACATGCCCTATGGCATAATCTATCTGAGGAAGAAAAAAAAAAGAAGGAAGGAAATGTTCAGTCTCAGATCTCCGTTAGACCTGCTGAGTCAGAAGCTGTCGTTTTAACAACTCCCAGGTGACAGGATACAGATTAAGGTTTGAGAGCACTGCCCTAGGCCCGTGGTGGTCAGATTTTGCTGCATGTCTAGAAACTCCCGGGGAGCTGTTAAAAATTCCAACAGGTCCAGCCACTGTGCCCATCACAGTCTGTAGCTTACTGGACTGCAGAGCTGGAAACCACATGCTGACCGCAGTTCAAGTCCCCAGCCCGGTTGGCCTGAAAGCACACTGGTGTGTCCACAAATGTCCAGGATCCTGGCGGCTGAAGGAAGGGGATCGAGGCACGACCACGCCCTGTAGGAGAGGGGCATTTCACTCGCGCATGTGCACTCTCTCTCTCTCTCTCTTGCACAGGCACTCTATGCACTCGAGAATACTAATGATAGAATGAACCTGAGGCCTAGGCTGCACCCCCGACTAAACGTCAGAACTCTGGGTGGCATCTAGGCACTGTGACTGCAACGTGCAGCCAGACGAGGGCCAGAGCCCTAGACACCTGGGCGACTTCCAAAGCCCTCGCAGGCACAGTGTGCCGTTGGCCTGTTCAGAACCCCGTGGGGAGGCAGGGCTGTTACTCGTGTTCCCATTTAGCTGGGGAGAACAAGAAGCCCTCGCCGAGGGCCCCCGGAAGGCGAGCAGGGTCTTGATCGAGAGCTTAGAGCTCAGAATCCAAAGATCCCTGGTCTTCAGGGATAAAGGCGCCTAAGAGCCCAGCTAAAACATCAGTTTTCAGGACCTGCAGAAGATGGGGAATTAGGGGAGGCGGCAGGCAGGTTGGTGAGTGAGAGGAACGAGGCGGGGAGGCTTCCTGGGATCTGTGTGCATAACCCGGAAAGGACCAGAGAGACAGGGCTTGGCTACAGGCAGGTGCTCAGGAAAGTCTGGAGGCAGAATCCCCAGGTGGAAGAACCCCTGGGCTCCACAGGACAGCTAATGAATGCTAGCCCCCTTAGGAGGGGGCGACGCCATTCCTGACATTCCCGTGGTGCCTGGCCAGGACCCCCAGGACCCGTGCGAGACCTCCAGGTCACAGACACATCGCACACCAGCATCACCCTGAGCTGGGTCGGGCCGGACACGCAGGACGGGGACGAAGCCCAGGGATACGTGGTGGAGCTGTGCGGCTCAGACAGTCTCCAGTGGAGCCCGTGCCACGCGGGCACCGTGCCGGTCACCACCCACACGATCAAAGGGCTTCGGCCCCGGGAGGGCTACTTCATACGGGTGACGGCAGTTAACGACGGGGGCCGCAGCCAGCCCACCGCCCTGGACACATCAGTGCAGGCCATGCCTGAGACGGGTGAGTGCCACCCCCTCCCCTACCCCAGCCCTGCCCGCCCTTCCCGAGAGGGGCCCCCAGCAGCAGCCAGGCATGTGCCGACCCAGTGTAATGAAGTAACATGCCACCCCCTCCCCTACCCCAGCCCTGCCCGTCCTTCCCGAGAGGGGCCCCCAGCAGCAGCCAGGCATGCGCCGCCGACCCAGTGTAACGAAGTAACATTCCCTGAGCACCCACTATGTGCCTCTCAGAAACGCTCTCACACAACGCCACAGGCCGTTGTCTGCATGTGCACTGTGCAGAGAAACTGAGGCCCAGGGCACTCGGCTTAGCCTCTCCGCCAGGACTGCAACCAGGCGACTCCAGAGTCGGTGCTTTCTCTAGGGTTCTGGCTGCCGCCGAGGCACGGACCAAGAAGGCACAGGCGCCGCTCAGCTCGGGCCGGTTGTGTTTTGCATGGAACGTGCCCTGCCTCCCCATGACCCACAGGAGGGTTTATTTCCCTCTGGACTTTAATCACCAGAACCCGCTGATCCGTCTCTGACCCAAGCTGACACTGGCCCGGCCCAGCTGACCCCAGTCGCCACTGTGTCTAGTGAAAAGCCCACCGCCCCGGAGTCCAGAGCCCCCAGATCCTGTCCTGGCTCTGTCCCTAATGCAGAATGACCTCAGAAGTCACTTCCTGTCTCAGGTTACCTCACCTGCAAACCAGAAGTCTTCCTCCAGCCCAGCCTAACCCCAGCCCTGTCCCTGCGGCAGCTCCTGTTCCTCTCCGGCTAACACCCCACCAGCTCCTGGAGCTCCCCCCAGGAGTCTCCTCTCAACGCCCCTCTGATTCCTTGAGAACCCCTCCCCCCAGTCACTGGACTCTAGACTGGCTGCTCCAGTCCCACCTCACTGGGGATTGTGGAGGGAGGTGACTCTCCGTCTTGTGTCTTCCAGTCTCTCCCAAGTTCCTCCTGGACTCCAGCATGAAGGACTCGCTGACGGTCAGGGCGGGGGACACCATCCGCGTGCCTGTCTCCTTTGAGGTGAGTGTTCTAGGAAGGCCATGGGGAGGGGAGCCCAGAGCGACCAAGGGAGCCACGCTGGGCCTGGACCCTCTTTTCTCCCCTGTTCCCTCCTGGACCCTAGGCAGGGACCTGGGCTTGTGCAGGGAATCAGGCTCAGAGAGGTGAGGAAGGGGGAGGGTCCTCCTTGAAGGCTCAGGTATGAGGTGGCCTGCGGAGGTGGTGGGGGGGCCATTCTGCTCTGCGCCTTCAAGTCCCTCTAGTGGCAGCTACCGGCAGTGCTTCCTGCAGCTGGTGCTCTCACTTTCCTCCACTTGTAAATCAGGGGATCCCAGGGGCCTGCAGTGTAGACCTTCTCCTTTGGCTTCAGAATGTATTTCTGTGCAAGCACGTGCCTGCCTTTGGCTCAGGACGGTCAGCACCAGCAGTACCTCCCGACTGCGCGTACAGTTCGACAACCGCACGGGGGTTAGAAGCACACGGTCTGGGCCCAAATTCCGCTGTCAGTGCTCTCTAGCTGTTTGGCTTTGCAGAAATATCTTCACCTCTCTGTTTCAACTTCGACCTCTGTCTGAGGGCATAACAATAGTAACTTATCCCAAAGAGTTGTTCTGAGGACTCAAGGGATTAAGGCACTGCAAGCATACGAACAGCCTGGGATAAGGCGAGCCCCGTGTGTGCTCCTTATTACTGTTGTTTTTAAAACCATCATCTGTGTGGGAAGCTCACAGATGGCCGAGCCGGAGTCAAACCCAGATCTGTCGTCCTCTAAATTACATATGTGTTCTTACCTATTAGATCCTAACGACAATGACATGACACCCGTATTTAACACACACTGAGTGTTTTCTAGGTCCTCGGCCCTATTCTTGGTACTTCTCATGTGTTTGTAAGTCCTTGGGTTGGGGCTGGCAGTTGGCGTAATGGCTATGTCGCTGGACTCCCATGCAGTCGACTGCAGTTTGAGTCCTAGACTTGGTGGCTTAAACTCACGCCTGGCATGTGTGTGTGCGTGCCCAAGATCCTGAGAGGAGAAGGTATTGTGGTGTGGCCATCCCCTCTGGGGGGTGATTTCTCACTTTCTGTCTCTTTGTCTCTCTCTCTCTGTCTTTCTGTCAAGCGCAATCGCCCTATAGCAAAAACCTCTAAAAAAAAAAAAGAGAGAGAGAGTAAGTCCTTGGGTCAGCCCCTGAGGTGAGTTGCTGTGGGCATCCCATTTGGCTCTGAAGCTCACTGGGCCCACAGGAGAGTCCCACAGGGGCTAGTGGCCCGGCCATCAGACAGCTGCACTGGCCTCCACACCCCAGCCAGCGTCAGTGAGATCTAGGCTGGACCTTCTAGTTTCCCAGGACCATCACAGGGACTCCCAAGCCATCCCCTATCTGGTCTTGAACGCCAGTGGTCACATCCTGTTCCCTGAGTACCTCCTCACTCCACTGAGTCCCACTCTCGCCACTAAACCC